TCTCTCTCTCTCTCTCTCTCTCTCTCTCTCTCTCTCTCTCTGTCGCCTCTCTCTTTCTCTTTCCTCTCTTTCTCTTTCTTTGTCTCCCTTACTCGTTTCGCCCTACCACGATCTCCTCCCACCGGTCGCGCCCGATATATCGTCCTACGCGGGCTAATGGGCAAAATGATTTGCGAGCAAAAAATAAATTGCCGGAGAATCCCCCGATGACGGAACTCGGTTGTATATTGTATATTGTTCCCGCGAAACGCGCCGGCCCCGATCGCCGACTTTTTTCAGCTTTATTAGAGTCCCAGCGCCGGGATCCGTTTTCGTGCAACGAGAGCGACACCGACACCGCGTTTCGAAACGATCTCGGAGATCCCAGAGAGTGCGAGGCAGGTATGCTGTTATAAACTGGGCGTATACTACTCCGATACACTGACGTGCGTAAACTTCATAGTGGCTTTAAGTATATTAAATCACGAAATTCAGCAACATTGAGCCCATTACGACTGATCAGATTGTACTCATGTTTTTATCACACAGAGATAGTAGAAATACGGAAAAGATTCTCACAGAATTTTCCCCAAATAATATGTTACGGTAAATGTAATATAAAAATATATGTGTAACTTTTAATAAATCTGCTACATTAATACAACAAAAAATTTATATTATTTTATGATGTAAATTGAATTATTAACTCGATACATTTACTTTATAAACGTAATTAAAAGAACTATAAAATTCCATCATCGATTGTTTAGTGATAAACATGAATGTTTATCCGAATGGCTCCTATCTATTAATGGCTTTAATATTTGTTGGGGAAATATCAAAAAATTCGAACAAAATGAGAAATGTAAAAAAACGCTACATTTCATAGCTTTTGATGTTCTAGTGGTTAATAATCAGTTAATTTTGAAAATAAACTGTCAGCAAAAAGAAATATTTTAATATGTAATTAATTAAAAAATCGAGTTATTAAAATTACACCATTGTATAAATTTTCATACTGAGAAAGAAATACTTGAAAATTTATTTGCGCGGGATATAAAGTTTATTATAGAACTTTATTTTACAAAAATCAATTTCACAGAAATGAACTTTATATATGTCAAAAATAAATTTTTAAATATTTCTTCTCAGTGTAATATATGGTAAAAATCGGCACACGTTATATAGGATACGTCACATGTGTAAACAAACAGATCGTATTAGGCGCAGGTACATGATGTTTACAAATTGTCACACGTCTGTCAGTCGGTGGTCATACGTCGAAGAGTCAGCTGCGTACGTGCCATATGCAAGTATTCATCCAGATTTTTAGCTTATTAATAAAGTTTTTTAATGTTCACATACGAATTGCAGAGAAATCGAAAGAAAGCAGGCCCGCTGGCACTGCTTACAATCAATATCCGTCATCTTGTGTGTCATCTTAGCGTTTAGACGTCTATAATCTTCGATTTATCGGTTTCGAGTTCTCCAATCGCGATTGCGCGCCCTCTTTATTGGCGTCCACTTTCGCGGATGCTCTCACGTATGGGTATCGCGCTGCTTCTCGAGGAGATCGACTTCCAGGAGCAGTTCCCGGAGGAAGGAGGTGGCGCGGGCCGTCTTGGGACAATCTTATCTGCTGTTAAAAAAAATCGAGACGTCGGTTTGCGTCTTTGTGAACTTCTGGACGGATATACATGACCGCCGCGGTCGCGTATCAGGTTTTATGCCACGCGATGCGGGGAGATAGGACCGAGGCGAGTTTATACGTAATCAGACCCGCTTCCACATTAACGAGGCCCACGTGTGCGTGTGCATCCTTGCATAGGTACACGCGTGCGTGTATATAGATTCGCATCACGTGCACGAGAAGCGACAAATCGGTTGGCGGAACGCCACGCGGATGAAGTCGGGCTATTCTTCATCGCGTATACGTAGTGTCCTCCTTAAATCTTCCCTTGCCGGCATGTAATCATACAACCGTACATTAACAACTAAGAGAGAGAGAGAGACAGATTGTAGAATTTTTATAGAGTAGTTTTTTTAATCAAATTTGCTACTTTGAATAAATATGCAGTTCCGTCTTTGCTCAAATGTATATGCTCGGTCAGAAAGCGGTTTACACACTTTTTATCGAATAAAGTTGCAATATTGAGAGAAAGAGAGAGAGAGAGAGAGAGAGAGAGAGAGAGAGAGAGAGAGAGAAAGAGAGAGAATTGTCAAAATTAAGAGCTACTATTGTGATGTGCACACTACATTACAGTGGATTGTAAAATTCTTTAGACACAATGAAGTTAGCTCGCAATGAAAAAACGCCTCCGTCAAAATGATGAATAGTCATGATGCACAAATATGTATACATATTGCATATAAAAGAGAAATTCGTATTTGTAAGATGTTAAAACTATCATGTCAAATTGTATACTACATACATATGCAGTAATCAGTTATGGTAGGAGTCATAGAAGTGGTAGGAGTGACAGCCACAACAGTAATACAGGGTGACGATAAATTCGGAAAAAAGAATTTATATTTAAAAATTTATATTTTAAATATATAAGAGAACATATTATTTTGAAATAATTTTTATATATTTTATAAAGAAAAATAAACGTGACAGAGAAAGAGAGAGGGAAAGAGAGAGAGACAGAGAGTGAGAATGTGTGTTGAAGGCATGTCAGCAGTGGCTTACAATCGTGACAACTTTCAGTTTTATTTAAATACACTTTAATCTATATACATATATCATTCTAATCATTACATTTTCTTTTTTCTGTTTCAGACGGCAGCTGGATTGCTGTATCGTCATCATGCTTCATCGCTACGTACTTCACTGCTGCGTACTTCATCGCTACATGCTCCATCGCGACGTGCTCCATCACGGCGTGCTTCAGTGCGACGTGTCTCATCGCGACGTACTCCATCGCACGATTCTTCATCTGGTGAGTGACAATTTCTGCCAAGAGCACATTATACATTCATACGTGCAAATCTCTATAGCGGAAATACTCAGAACCTGCACTGAGAGAAAAAAAATAGATGGTCTGACTCAAATTATAGTTATTTTTGGCCATAATCATATTTTTTTATAGTAGTTATTTCTCGATTTGTAGTAGTTATTTCTCTATGTGATTATAGTTGCAAATACCAAACATTTTTTCGTCTCAGTGTGCGATTCTCAAGCCGAACACGCTTGTCCCGCGCGTGTTCACGAAAGACGCGCCCTTCTCGGGTCCTTTGTTTTGGGATACAGTTGCGCAAGACACGCAATTTGCATGAGAACAGGGTCGAAACGAGGGTCACGCGCCACGTCCACGCACGCAACGCGGATTTCCATACTTTAATTCCGAGTCGCTACCTGGGCCGCGCGGATTTTATTAGAACGTCGGCAGACGAAGCGAGAAAGAGAAACAGGTCAAGGGGGTGGCCGGGTGGTACGAGGGAAACAGAAAAAAATGAAGCGTTGAAGCGTCGGCGCTGCGTCGGCGTCGGCCGTATTATTCCGTGAATATTACATTTGTGACTTGGCGCGGGCGTAGCGGAGCACCGGCGTGCGCGATAGGGGGATACGGCTATGTTTACTTCGCGTTTCCTAATTTCCTTCGGGAAACGGCGCGAGTAATGTCGCTCTCGCAGCTGCAACTCCCGTTCCACTTGCCGCCTCCGCCTGCCGCTTTCTCTCTCTCGGCTGCGCGCGCGCGTGCATTATTCACATAACCGAGCGAATTGTCTCTCCATCTCGCAGTGTTGGCCTAATCAAAGTCATCGACTCCTTCCCAATTAACGCCCGTGTGTGGAACTTAAAGGAAGCACCGTTCACTTTGCATTAATTAATTAATTACGCGCAGGAATGAGGAGGAAGGAAGGAAATAAGGGGTAAGATGGTGTTTAACGGAAACGTTTAGGTGGCTGTGTAACACATATTAATTTACGAGCGCCGCGATCGCTCGTATTAATTAAGCAATTCGGCGATATCGCGGCCGCGCCCGACGTTCGTTCATTAATATTTCATGAAAACAGATCCGAGCGTTTAGGAAGTCTCACATATTTTAGCCGACGCAGCAAGTTATTAATGTGCTAAAGACGATACGGGTTTCTTCTCGCGGCTCGTTCTTCTTCTCGCCGGGCGAGAACAAAACGTTTCGCGCGCGGCCGAGGGGGCTCAGAAGGGACGGGACGGGGCGGGGGAGGGCGCGATGGAGGGTTACGGTTATAAATAGTCCGCCTTCGGGAGGCACTAAAGAAACGACGGGGAGGGAAGTTACGACAGGGGTGGGAGAGTTTGTCAGCGAGAGGCAAATGAAATTGTATTAAAGTTTCACCTCGCGGGAGCGAGAAGAGAGGAGAGAAAAGGCCGGGGACGGGCGCGGGTGAGGGAGGCCGAGCTCCGGAGGCACCACCGGGGAAGGAAGCAGCGACGACAACGACGACGACGACGACGGCGACGACGAAGACGACGACTGAAACGACGAGCCGAGGATATTAAAGCTTGTCGCTTTAGGACAAAATGAAGCGGGACTTTCGTCTTACTCCGGCGAATGGGCTGCGAACGCGCCCTTATATTGAAACGCCGAGGCTATATAACGCGTCTCGCGAACGATATCCCGTGGAAGTAGCATGCCCAGGTAGAGGAGCGATATTACTCGTAAATTAATCGTCTCGAGTTGCTGACTGACTGCGCTTTTGCATTACGGCTACGAGGGAGAATTTTATAGGATTTTTATGCGGTTCTCACGACTTGTGTGCGTCTTATGCTCGTCTCCCGCGGAATTACCGTGACGTTATTTGCAAACGGCGTTAGCGTAAATTACACGTGACTAAACGCGCAAAAATTTCACTCTTTTTCTGACGCGTAAATCAACAACAATCCTCCTCCCTTTCCTCCTTCTCCTCCTTGTCGTCGTCCTCCTTCAAGACCTGTTTTAATCAAATTCTTACTTTTCCATTTTTGTAAATGGAAAGTAAATAAAATCGCGCGAGATAACTTACACGCCTTTCGACCCGAACGACTCATAGTCACGATTCCTTTCGAACGTCTGATTGCACTCTTCTCACGGCTACTGCATGTTGCACCACGTGGACCGCCAGATCCAATTACCGACGATGCGCGAGCGGGATAAAAGCGCGAGATGCAATGCGGGAAATTGTAGGAAGCACCTCACGACCTACGCGACGACGACCCGTTCTCGGCGGCTCCAAGGCGGCGCGGTGGGACGATTAGTTCTTTTTCGGAGGATTGCATAAGCAACGAGCGCTCTCGGCATCGTCGCGTCTATTACGCGAAATTTATGCAGCTATTACGCGCCAGGTGTCCGTAAACACGTGGACTCGCCTGACCCTCACGTCGTTCTCTCTGGGCACTTTTATCCGGTTCACGAGTGTGTATTCCGACCGTGACATTTGTCACGGAAAAGTTGCTTTTATCTTTAAACGTCCCGCGAGTTGAAATTTTAGTCCTACTTTAGACCTGAACTTTCTAATATCTGTATACTCTGGAGCATACGTATAATACACTTAGAAACTGATATCCTACTTAGCGCCTGTAAATGGCAGAAAATGCACAAAATGTCACTTGCAGGTTCTAAGACTCTCAGCAAAGCTAATGGGTTAAATAGAATCAACAGAGATTTATTTCAGAGATAGGCTTCAAAGTATCAAAGTTGGCATTAAATGGAATTATTGAGGTCGAAAGTAGGATCAGAATTCCAATTCGAGGTATGACAAAAGCGTATCGTCTTGCGCTGTTCTAATCGTGATTTCGAGAAATCGTTTTTCTCATGAATCGTGCAGCATATATCTCGTTGTTTTCATAAAATATAATATTCTATTAAAATATAATATAAAATATAATATAATATAAAATAAAATATAATATTCTATTTTTACTATAATATATTCTATACTCTCTACTATATTCTCTACATATTTTTACTATACTATATTTTTTCTCCGTGAAGAGATTATTTTGGCTCGTTAAATTAGTGAAATGCGCTAAAACACATCTTTCCAAAATGCGTGAAATCAAAATGGAAAGATCAGAGCGGATCGTCGGATTCGCCGAAATACGATTCGATATTTTGCCGCTAAATAGACTCTCGGTACCTAAATATACGGACCTGCGAGACGGAGAAGAAGGGACACGTCGGTGGGGGGAGGGAGAACAGGAGAACAGGTTCGCTTAACGGACACCTCAGCTGCCAATTTACCGGGCGCACGCAACTAGGCAGTCATATTTTATTTACGATATAATTGAGATATATTGAAACGCGAGATACAGACGTCCAGCTGCGCTCGCGTGGAAGAATAACAACGCGCCGCGACCGAGTCATAATTTAACGCTGCCGCAAAAAGAAGCCCGATGCATTTTATTAGATCGCAGCATCGGCATCGCCGCACGTTGCGATCGCATCGCACATTCGGAAATCTCCGCCGTATTGATTTCACGCCTCAATTTCAGAAACGATCGCGGCTTTATCGGTGTGGCATGCGCTATTTTTTCGAGTTATAACGCTCTTATTTTCCTGTCGATCTCTCTTGGGATAAAATATAAAAATGTACTAGCGGGAATAACTTTGCGTTGCAAAAACGCACGGGCGTGTCGGCTAAAGTGTAACAATCGACGGGCAATGGAAATAGAGGGAATCCGTGTAGAAAATTTGGTCCTACGTTAATCCCGCGAGTTTCATCTTTTTGCAACACTGCACAGGTTAATTAACCTATGATGGCGGTATAAATAATTTTTTACAGAAAAAAAATTTACTCTTGAATTATTTAATATTTGATTGTCTCAATATTCCATCTATATTTGATCTTTCTTCTTAATTTCAATATACTCATTGGAACGTATTATATGATGTATTGTGTAAATTATTTAACTGCAAATGAAGGATGTTCGTGATAAGCGAATATTGATACAAGTAAATAATAGGATGAGTGAGTACACATTAGAGGAAAATGTCCAGTAGTCGACACTCGTTACAACACTCACCAGTTTTCGACGATTCGGATTTTAACAAATATTAAAAGGTATGCATGAGGATTTATTAATTAATTATTTAGCAATGAATGAATGAATTATTTATTATTTAGTAATTATTATTTATTATTTGTGTATCCGTTTTCTTTTAAATTCCTGTACACTTTAATATTTGATAATATCCGCGCAAGAGAGCACCGGAAACAGGTGGAGTGTCGACCGCTGCATGTTTTCTCCCATTAAGAGGGAATATTATTAAAGAGGTATAAGTATTTTCAGCACTTGGCAAAACGAGATTTAGATTTAGATTTAGATTTAGATTCGATCGCGCGACAGTTTTGATAACTTGAGTCGCCTCGAGATTAAAAGCGCGAATTGTTGTAATTCCTCGGTCGCTCAATGACACGCATCATTGACTGGCGGATGACAACAGCTAACGACGGGAAGTTCCATGGCCCTTTGTGCTCATTGTTTTGGTATTACCGCGCGCCGCGTATACCTCTGTTGAGTGTCATTACGTTTCGAGCCGACGAACAATAGACACGTCGCGACGCGGAATACGTGTGTATCGGCGCGTAAGTCATAACTCTCTTGTCGGGGAGGGGGGGAGAGGGATATTAAAATATTTCGGCTCTTGGAGTTAATAGTTAATCGGTTGCGTCGGAGACGCGTTAGTTGACAAGTTTCTCCATATTTGCGCGAGTGTCTAGTGCTGTGCTCAGTGAGTGAGTGTCCAGAATCGCAGAGTCGAGATGCTGAATCGCAAAGCCGAGACACGAGCAGCGATATATATTCGCAGGTATGTCAAATTACAAATTAAGCAGAATTTTTCCGATTTTAACGAACCCTTGACACATCGATTTATAATGAAAGGACATATCCGAACCGAGTTGTGAATTTCGAGCAAAGTTCTGTTGCATTTTCGAACAAATATCTATTATGTAACGCTAGACGTAACGCTACGTTCTCGTTTTAGAACA